ACAGCTTGATTATTTGATAATAATCTTCATAGTAAAGTTATTTCAAAAGCAGAAATTTTTATTTGTAGAAACAGACGTCAAAAGGAAGATTCATAAACAAACAAAAACTTGAAAAAATTTCAGAATGTCAGGAATAATAAACGTCATATTTGTTTTTAAATATCAAAGGATAAGGGGGATTAGTAAATACAATGGAATATGTATTGACACTGAAGTGTCAGAAACGTATTATACACTTACATTTTCCAACAGAATTTCTGCATGAAAAAACTATGACTACGTTTCTTGGTAGTTCATAGCAAAGATCTAACATAAACAACTTCCATTTTCAATCATACAGTTAATCTGTATAAGTACTATCATTTGTTATCCTTAAACTTTTGTAGTGTTCTTTAAATTCTAAGGGATAGATTTTCCGTACAATGTTTGTAACCAGTCTTTCAGAAACCTGAGGTAACATATGTATTTAAGGAAGCATATTAATTTAGATATATTAATTTAATAAAGATTCAGAATACTTCTAATACTAAATTTCTGTATTCCCAGAACTTCGTATTAATTACTTAACCTTTAAGTGTCATCCTTTCTCTCTCTAGACACATTTCTCTTAATGCGAGCGAGAGAGAAACCATGTTGCTTGATGACACGAATACATTCGGAATTCTTTCTCCTTTGGGTTTTCTGCTTATATCCGTAATTAAACCTGTTACACTGAATTTCTATAGGTTTTAATTCTAACTTTTAATAAAGCCAGAAACAAGTTAACAGCTAGTGTATTATATTATTTTGTTATTTTGCTTAACAGAATAGTAGAGAAAGGAGAAAGTTATTCTGTTTACAAAAATAAGAAAGACGTTTGTTGTAAAGTAATACTCTTGCAAATATAAATATTTTCATCCATTTTGTGTTGACAACACATATTATCGAAATGAAAAATTAGAAAGAATCAGAAGTTACAGATACGGATTAGCAACAAGAATTATCATTAATCAAGAATCAGCAGTAAATTCGGTGTGTCTGTTTTATGATCAGAAGTTACTAATAAGTATGTAGAGTCATTAGGTTAATTGGAAGTAGAAAAGATGAAAAACATGCAACCGCCTTTGCCTGGAATCGAACCACGGACCTCTGGAATACCGTCCCAGCGTGCTGCCGTTACACCACGAAGGCACGCTAGGGAAGTGGGAGTATAACCTTATAAGTATAACACTTTGGTAGTTGCTTGTCTAAAAAATATTTTTAACTGATTTTTTTTTCTCGTGAACTTAGTTCTAAGAGAAGGGATATTTGCAATATGAAAAACAATGACATATATTAACAAATCAAAATTTTCAAAACTGGGTATTATTTTTATACAGCCTTTTCTTCTCGTGAGCTTCAAAAACTCCAAACTCTAAATACTATTTGCTAAATCGACACTTTTGATGAGTAAAAATTTGCTCCATAAAGGCATAATAATTACGTAGCTTATTTTAGGTTTTAAGGGATCCAAAATCTTCTAAATTTAAATCTAAAGAAAGGATTTGTTTTCAAAAGACTCTAAAACAAATGTATGTTCAAATTAATTAAAGCTTTTTACTCACTTTAGGTTTCAGTTCCTTTTTTTCAGGGAAGGTGTAGATTATCCGTAAAGCACTCAAAAATTATATTCGTATTTATTTCGTAAAACTAATCTATTAATTATTACAGCAAAATATAAAATGTTAATGAATAAGCAATGTACCAGTTACATTTAATATTATGAACCTAACAAATTAAATAATTGCTGCATTAACGATTAAGGAATTTCTGACGTAAGGATGAGAAGATAAAATTTCACTGATTTTGCAAAGTTTTTGTTTCTAATGTAACGGAATTTTTAATAACTATTAATTATTCATAGTAGCCATAACTTTCAATTATCTAATGAAGCTCCATCATACATCCCATGCAATAAATTTCATAGAAGGTTTGATTGTTAACAACTGTGGGAACCAAATTGTAGGGTTATTTCATATATCACGTTTGCTCTAACATCTGAGATTTTGATAATTTTTAAAATAAAATTCTATTTGTTGCAGGTGCCTTGATAAGCTATTTATACTTTCTTTAGCTTCTTTTTAATAAAACACTTAACAATACATAGTTAAAGTGCTGCTTGCATGATTCCCGAATAAGACTGATTGCTGTTTTCTGACACACGCAAGCGAACACTTCCGCACTTTAACTAATCTGCCTCATATTTGTCGAGAAAACTATGTAATAACATGTCATGTGGCTTCACAGACCTAACTAAATGCAATGAGATTAGTTACGACGATACGCTCTAGTGCCATAATTTGTCAAGAAGACACAATCAAATTAGTGTTAAGAGCAGCATCCGCCCACATCTTTGTCGACGCTAAATTGCATTTCTAACCATATACTGGAGCAATTAATCTACTTGCCATACAACGAAGATGAAATTATGGTTCACATTCATACTCAAGCGCAACTCTCAATTCTCAAACCAAAAGGAAAAATGTTAACTCATGGCTCTGCTGTATTATATGCAAATTAAGCTACTATACCGCAATATTAGGAAACTATTCCTAGTTTATTTCAGTACTACAGTTACAATTTAACTTGAGACATATGTGAGGAACTGTAACGTAACGCTATATTTTTATGGCAGCATACTGAGTTTAAACCAATTTTTATTACCTTCAATGAACATGTGAGATTTAAATGTATCATTAATTTATTGATGTGAAACATAAATTAAAATATCAGGATATTCCAAAAGACGCTTTTAAAGTATGTAATTAAAATCAGTCCCCATATACTGCCGTAAAACTATTATTAACATACTAAGATATGATAGCATAAGCTCTTTAATTACATATTTGGAATTAAACCATACGCATAACAGAATTCAAATCAAGTTTCTCAGGGAAATGATAACATACCCAACATAAAAATAAGTAACATGAATTAATTATATTCTAAATTACTTTAAATTAGGGCATAAATTATCATCTAATGCTAAGATATGAACGTGCTGTAATACTCTAATTATTAGATTTAATACGAGTGCCCTGCTCCAACGATATAATATACGAGTACGGCACTGCTGCCTTTATTTAGCGCTTAAGTGGATTTTAATAACATTAAATAAATTGCTATTCTCATTTTAATCCACTCTAACCTGTACTACTTTCTTTATCGGTTGTTTGAATTACATTCTAACCAAAATCGTTTCACAAATGAACAATTTAAGTTTGGCTTTTCATTCTAATAATAATACAGTGCGATATAGTAGGAAAACCTTAAATATAAAAAAACCATGCCAATCAAATGGAGGGGAAAGAAAATTTGCTTGCAGCCCAACACAATAAGATTATCTGTGTATGGAACAGAATGCCCTCGCGAAAAAATTTCTGAAAACAATTTTTCCGAATATATACACGAGAATACGCGTGAATCTACGCGCGAATCCGGGGAAAACTATCAGATTTTCCGAACTTATACCACTTTATCACAATCACACTCAGAGACTTTTCACAATCTATTAATATACAATAACATTTTAAATGCATACTTTTCTCATCATTTCTTCTCAAAGCAGTGTTTGAAACACATTCAAAGTGAAATAGTGAAGGGAAACGTAATCTGCAAGGATATGTTTTGTTTCAGCTCTTTTGTTCATTTCTTTTGTTTCTAGTATTTTGCTTTTTACTTTGCCCCATATTTTAAGTATTCTCTTCCTTCTATGAAGACATGAATGGACATAAACTATGTAAGAAGAGTGGTCATGATCTGAATGAATACTGCAGTTTTTGATATTTCAAAATAAGATGCGATTTGTATAATGTCTTTAATCCAGTAATTACAAATAGCATATCGATTGTCGTTGGTAGAAATTCAAATGCTTTGTTTTACTAATATGAAGATTGTTTATTGATCTTAAATCATTTAGATAATGTTATAGAATATACCATTCACAAATATGATTATATGAATAAAATAAAAATTAATAAAAATGCTCTTGAAATTTGCAAAAGAAGTCGAGGAAATTATATTTCAAATTTACAATGTAACATACTGTCGAAGTTATCTAGAAAAGATGTGTTTTGTAAAACGCGTGTTTGTATGTCAAGTTCTGAAGTTTCTCAGAATATTTTCCGCAACTTTTCCTTCTTCATTATTTTTAAAAACCTCTTTGAATTTACCAGCGTTTCGTCTTTTACCAGTTCTTGCTGAATTATTGCAAATATATACTATTTCAAAGTAAGTTTTCTTTTAACTTTTATGTAAGTAACATCATTACACTCCGACTAATCCGTTTTTCCCCCACTAAAAACAGAACTTCTTGAAACATTTTTCAGCTTCCAGTGAAATATTCTCCCAAACTTCTTTATTAAGTCTTATATCGCTTTTAAAATATTATTAAAGATAAATTTCTCACATTATTTTCCTGACAACTTCGAAAATTTCTTTTCCTCTAAAATGAATTCATCAGTAACTTATCCATCCTCACTACTGAACCCATGTAAGACAATTTTAGCCTTACTTAAATTTACGTAAAAATGTTTCTTTTAAAAATTGTTGACTGAAAAATATGTATGTAAGACTGAGTGAAAAGTTTTGATAGTCCACCAGAACGTGAGGAATCTTACAGAGAAAAGCAGTCCATGATTAATAAAATCCTCTTTGCATGAGTAATAAATCTATAAACCACCTAAGTATTATATCTATAAATATATTTTTGTGACAACAATTTGCGTACGGTTAATATACTTTACAAGTAACATATGTTTTAAATTTATGGCTTATCGAGAAAAACCTTACATATTTAAAAAAATACAGTATTTATAATACTATCCACAATTTCTTAAAAACAAACGGAAACACAAAAATACAGTATATCAGCCTTTCTGATGGAGTAAATATTAGACGAATTTTTAACTGTTTACCGAACACGTATATAATGGAAAACGTTTTTATAAATTATGTTGTAAAATAAATAGTTGAAAACTTACCAATTTTGGGAAAATAAAGATTGCGTCTTCCTGATTCTGAGTAAAATTCAATAATCCGGGTTTCTTTAATTTTTTTCAACCCGAATATAGCAAAGTCACGAAGAAAAAGTTTCAAAGACACTATGAAGAGTGTTATAAAAGTTTAAATTTTCATTTATTCCTCTTTTTCTTCTCAAAATTTTCTTTTCTTCTTCCCTCCTATAATTTTTTTTAATTCGAGATATAATTCGATTCACATGTTAGATAATATTTCCTAACCTCTGTCATTACAGTAAATATTGCAAAGTGATAGCGAAGAAGAATGTTCAGTTTGTCAGTCTGAGACCTGAACATGGAGGTCCCAGGCCCAGGATACTTGTATGATGTGCTCAGTAGATAGTGTGTGTAACGTCCACAACAATGTGCCGCCAGCTCTGGTATCAGAAGTGATGTGTTAGCGATTGGATGCGGTGTGATGAAGAGGAGCAAAAGATGCTCCCGCACATCCGCACGTGATCCTACCACTGCAGCGCCCTCTATCCTACGCAGAACGTGGCCTTCCCAGAAACGATCTGCTTTGATCCAGGGTAGTTCTCTTATTTGCTAAAAGAATTCACTGTAATCAAAGACATTAAAGATAAGCTGTCATAATATATATGCATTAAAACCAACTTTTGTTTAAATTACAAAGGCTACAGATTTTGTGAAAAGTGCATTTCAATCGTAGAAATTCCTTTTACATTCAAATATAATTATGGCAGATATGTATACCTGAGAAAGTTTAATGAAAATTTCAAAATATGCAACCGATCTCTAAATTTAAAAACACAATTCCCGTTAATTTATATACTTTTGCATAAAAATTATATTCCTAAGGAACTAAATTTTAATCTCCAAGCTCACTATTGGGAAGATCTCATAAGGTTTCTGAACTCTCTCTATGTATTTCCTTTTTCCCATCGGAATTATGAAAATGTTAATAAATATAGTCTTTCGACCAAAAGCATAAAATATATCTCTTCATTTTTAAGTCGGAGTTCTTTGTTAACGGTTAATTCATTTTGCATTAAGAGATAATAAATATTTCGTTTCATTTCAGTGGCAAATAATTGAATCTAAGTATCAATTCTTGTAGCTTAAATAGATATAATTCAAAGTATCACTGAACTAAACATTTTGAACAAGAATTATGAAACTTTTCTAAAGACTCTAGCGTAATACCTCAAACACAAGAATAAGTATACATTTTGAGAATATATAAACTGGTTTAAAAGGAATACAGGATATAATATTCTAAATACAAGACTTGGTACATACCTTGAGAATATGGAAACTACCTTAAACGAAGTGAATAATATTATACTCCAAATAAAGAAATTATGGGATTAGATGTACCCTGAGATTCAGTGAAATGGCTTGGAAGAAATACCTAAATTTTCAAGTGCAGTATTGAAATATGCAATATATAGTATATACATAAATCTTCTAATAATAATAGAATACTAAAAAGCCTAAATTAATATTTCTTCTCATTCTGACGTTCTAAATTTACCGAATTAAAGTACTGGACTCCAAAATCGTCAAAACATTATAAAAGCAATCTTTTTACGAAAATATATTGCTTAGTTATTTTTAAAACAAATTCGCTGTATACTAAAAATTACAATTAGGAGTATAATTTTTTCAGAGAGCATAATTTCATAACTAAGATAGCCCCAATGCCCGGTTAATGGGTCCCCCATTTCCCACAATTGGGGAAGGCCTAATACCGAACATTTATTGCATACCTGCACAGTACTAATTAAATTGTGACTTCTTGACAGGTAATATTATTAAGGACAGGTCTTAAACCTTTCTTTGTATTTCTCTACTTAGAGTTTTCGAAATTATAATTATCAGGCTCCAGAGCCATGACAAATGGGCTGCTGTTAGCTCCCTGTTGGACAGACACCCAATGATAATCGCTATCCTTTCTTCTTATCTGGCATATGTTAATGTTTAATCGCTTTTGTGTGGAAGAACGTGAAAAGTTTGAAGCTACTGCAATTTTCGGATCTCCGAATAAGCTTCTAATGGCGATCAAATTAATGACATGAAACTATTATGCTTTTAAAGGAAATTTAAAATTAGACAAAAAAACAACCTTAGTTTGGAATTGAGTTTTAATGAAATTGTATCGATATCAAGGGAAATCAGACACAAGAAAATTTTCTATATTAGTAGCATCCCAGAAATCATGAGAATTTTATTCATAATCTGTTTCAAACTAAGGTTGCTATTTTTTGCCTAATTTTAAATTTTACACTGATTTGTTTCTCCTCCAGTTATAAATTTAGTACTTTATAAGATATTTTCATCCTCCTTTACGCATGCCTTCGTGGTGTAGTTGGAAGCATACTCGATGCATATTCGAGATTTTCAGGGTTTGATCCACGGCGAGGGCATTATACATATTTCACATCTCCTGCTTCAAAATAACCTAATGATGCTATCAGGTTCAATGTTTCTTCTAACCTTCTTCGGAAACATACAATGACCTGACTAGAACAGAGAGCTTACTAAAGCTATGTTCACTAATTGTAGTAAGTAGACAGGATACAGACGAAGGGTATACAAAACCCTTTATTTTTTTCTTTATATACAATGACTTCCGTACTTCGGAATACAATGACCCTCCACTCGGGGTCTAACTTAAAAGATATCAAAATAAAACTAAACTCTAATTTAACTTTAGAATAAGATTGGCCTTATAATAACAGGAAGCGTATGTAGCACAGAGACTGTGAACACTACAATACGTTTAATTTATCAAGAGGATTAAAACCTCTGGCCTGGAAGGCAAAGTAGCAACTGCGTAACTTCTAAGGTAAGCGGCCTGCTTCGAACTCACGGCTTCCTCTCTTCTGCTTGGCAAAAAGGCCACACTTAAATACTTGGCGTTCGCCAGACAACTTTGCATAAACTCCTTCACGCTTATAATTCTGGCCGGAAGTAGAAAATAAGAAGTGATAGTAAAGATTTAAAATAAAATAAACGTTAGTAAAACTTAAGATCCTTACATACTTCCCGCCAGAGTTAATTAGTTTGAAACTGAGGTCTAAAACGACCTTGTTGAAAACTTTTAGCTCTAGAAACTAACGCGAGGCCAACCTTTTACAATCATAACTTAGCTAGAAACTAGAAAATTTTAAAAGAAAGAAATTTGTTACAATAGCAGCTCCTCCCGGAATATACAACAATCTTTTTTCTTTTTTTCATCTGTACTGCATCTAAACAGGAGCTTTATTCAATTCTGGTTCCTTCCAGAGATCTGGAAGGAAAACTAGTTTAATGAAATGTTACAGAATGACATTGCAAATAACATATAGAATATACTTTTCTTAACATTCTTATTTCATTCATGACTATTTTAATTATCTCTCCCCGTGCTCTCTGACATGTGTTGTAAAAACACCAAACACGAATGTGTTTCTGTCTATGTGTTCAACACTTCCTCCTACAATCAAAACACTAACGTGTTAAAATTCAACATACGAGACCTCTTAACACACCCTAATTTCAACTCTAGACCCTGAGGTACTATTCTGAAAGTGGCTAACTCTAAAGTGTAGCGTCAGAGAGCCTAACTACATCATTCAACCTTTAACACATATTCACCATGATTTAATCTTTACAGTCACACGAATAACAAATTTTTAACATTACTTTCACTTTTACCATATCACGGTATTTCTAAACATTCAAAATAACAGTTCACATGTATACAAGAACATATCAAGATGCCGTTAATTTTACACATTTGAAAACATACATTAGTAGTACATTGTTAACTTCTATTCTTTTCAAAGCAAGTGCCAATTCTTTCTACATTGAAATAATACTACATTTCAAAAAGTCTTTCAGACTAAAACTTCTTTCTTGTTAGAATGTTTTAAATAAAATTTATACAATAACTTTTTACAATATTTAAGTCTTTATACAACGCTATTATACATCAACTTTAGTTTTACGCGCGAGTAATTGAAAAACATAATAAGAAAATCGGTCACAACTCATTTCTCGCCCTTTTGGCGATAAAGGTAGACCTCGCATGAGGTAAAACTTCTTGAAATCTGCCACTTGCAGTAAGAATGAAAGATTAACTTAAGTTTGTAAAGTAACATAAAATTTTACTTATCTTTGTAATATTCAGACATCCTTTTCTGGGCCCAGTCTTTAAAGGTGCTGCAGACCGTAGCTTGGTTGATCCTCCTTCTTGTACGGGCTCGCCCTTCAGTGCTTTCCTCTGGAAGCTTCCGTTTTTCACCACTACGGCCACCCTTGAACATCTTCCTTTGTCCTCTGCTTGTGGTCTTGGCCGTTTGAAGGCAGCTGGTCTTGGTGGAACCGGGAAACTTCTGTCGTGATCCTGCTTGGACCTCGTTGTTGGCCGTTCAAATTTTTCTTGTACTTTTTCCTCCGCCGCTGATGGCCCTTCCGCAGTTCGGCGACTTTTGCTGCGGAGAGTTCTGTCGGATGAGTCAATCTTCCGTTTTCACAGCCGGGTTATAGTTGCCGTCCTTTCTCCCGGTCTTTTCCACATACGTCGTCCTTCTCCCTTCTTCATTCTGGGGGTGTTCGTGAACTCTGTTTTTTGGACGGTGGAACGGCTTCTTTTTCTTTGTACCTTCAATTTTTCCGCGGGGCAATTTTCTTTTCACTTGCTTCTGTCTCTCATTGGCTTGCCCTTGTACTTGTCGTTTTCCCACCTCTGGAACTTGTACCTGCGGTGTCTGCCGTACCGGATCCTGCAAAAGATCTGAAAAGATTTGCATTTTATTACGGTCGATAGAATGGTTTTATCTGGATCAATGTTTGCGGAACAGGTTTCACCATTTCTTGCCTTTAACACTACAACAGCGTGAGTTATTTTTTCTATAACATATGGTCCTTCAAAGCGTGGAAAAAATTTGGCAGTTTTATCTTCTGGTGCTGAAGAAAGTGAATGCTTAATTTTTAGTACTTCATCCCCTACTTTATAAGTTACTCCCCGTCGTTTCAAGTCATAATACAATTTTGTTTTCTTTGTGCTACTTCCGTATTCTTTTTTTGCTTCTTTTATTAGTTTTTCTATATCACCCATTTTAAATTCTGGGGCTCTTTGTTGCACATAAAATAGTTTATCTAACGGTGTTATAATCTTTCTGCCTAGAAATAACTCAGCAGGAGTTTTTGCCCGTTGTATCATGTTTTGCGGTCCTAAGGGCGAAAGCAAATTCATTGACATAGTTATCCCAGCTTTTATGAAAATTTTTAACATAACTACGGATAATTTTCACTATATTTCTGTTGACCCGTTCCGCTATATTTGATTGCGGCCGATACGGGACCATTTTTAAATGACGTATGCCCAGTTTTTTGGCACATGTCTTCAAATATATTACTTACAAATTGAGGACCATTATCCGATATAACTTTTAGGGGCGCCCCGTAT